TATTTATACATCCTCAATTCCTATTTTTAAATCACTATTTCCTTTACGATTTCCAAACAACATAAATTTAGTTTTGTCCAAATCTAACAATAATTTATTTTTATCAAACCACTTTTTAAATTAATTTAATTCTGGATATGATGTGAAGTCAAGTTTTTTTTATATTTAAACATATAAGTAACATTTTATAACAACTGAAGGTGAAATGATTACATTATTATGGTATAGAATTTAAATATATACCTGAGAAACACATAATATTGCCCCATAATTGATTATGTTAATTTTCGTCCTCCATATAACTCCTGTGGACCTCATGTAGGAGCTGTTTTAATATTTACAGTGAAACTGATTTCTCTGCTGTGTGGACTCTTATGTGTTTGTTTAAAGATGACTTTAGGCTAAATCTTTGTCCACAAACATCACAAGGAAATGGTTTGTCACCTGTGTGGACTCTCATGTGAGTGTTTAAATTTGTTTTAAGGCTAAATCTTTGTCCACAAAGATCACAAGGAAATGGTTTGTCTCCTGTGTGGACTCTCATGTGTCTGTTTAAAGATGAGGTTTGACTAAATCTTTGTCCACAAACATCACAAGGAAATGGTTTGTCTCCTGTGTGGACTCTCATGTGTGTGTMTAAATTWGYCTTTTGACTAAATCTTTGTCCACAAACATCACAAGGAAATGGTTTGTCTCCTGTATGGACTCTCATGTGTCTGTTTAAAGGTGACGTTCGGCTAAATCTTTGTCCACAAACTTCACAAAGAAATGGTTTGTCTCCTGTGTGGACTCTCATGTGTGTGTTTAAAGATGACGATTGGCTAAATTTTTGTCCACAAAGATCACAAGGAAATGGTTTGTCTCCTGTGTGGACTTTCATGTGTGTGTTTAAAGATGACTTTAGGCTAAATCTTTGTCCACAAAGATCACAAGGAAATGGTTTGTCTCCTGTGTGGACTCTCATGTGTGTGTTTAAAGATGACGATTGGCTAAATCTTTGTCCACAAAGATCACAAGGAAATGGTTTTTCTCCTGTGTGAACTCTGTGCGCGTTCAAATTAGACTTTTGGTTAAATCTTTGTCCACGAAGATCACAAGGAAATGGTTTGTCTCCTGTGTGGACTCTCATATGTGTGTTTAAAGATGACTTTTGGCTAAATCTATGTCCACAAAGATCACAAGGAAATGGTTTGTCTCCTGTGTGGACTCTCATGTGTGTGTTTAAAGATGACTTTTGGCTAAATCTTTGTCCACAAAGATCACAAGGAAATGGTTTGTCTCCTGTGTGGACTCTCATGTGTGTGTTTAAAGATGACTTTTGGCTAAATCTTTGTCCACAAAGATCACAAGGAAATGGTTTGTCTCCTGTGTGGACTCTCATGTGTTTGTTTAAAGATGACTTTTCGCTAAATCTTTGTCCACAAAGATCACAAGGAAATGGTTTGTCTCCTGTGTGGACTCTCATGTGTGAGTTTAAAGATGACTTTTGGCTGAATCTTTGTCCACAAAGATCACAAGGAAA